GGATTTTTGTGTAAAAATATTTACAATAAATTTTCCGTCAAAACGTCAAAATAAGTCTTAACATAAATTTTCTCATACAAATTATCCATACCAAAAATACCAATCTAGAGTATACAAGCAAACGACAAATTATCAATACAAATCGTTCAAAATTAAAGATAAACATCTATAAACAACATGATTAATTGAAAGCTTCTTGCTCCTTGTCAACTAAACCTTTTCACCCTCCACCCCATAATATAAACTTCATTCTACATAATCAGAAAGAACAAATTAGACATGTCTCCACAAATATAAAGAAGATTAGTTGTTTAAGGAAGATTTATTGCTTAGATATACCCAAAAAATTAATTATATGGGTGTGGGCGGGTACCCATGGGGCGGGTATACCTAAACCCAAACCCAACCCGTGAACAATGTAGCGGGTTTAAACCCGAACCCGGCCCAAAACCCGTCAACGCAGGTTTTACCCGCATTGACCGGATTGGGTCGGGTAGGGTACCCGTGGGTTCGAATTTTGTTGCCATTCCTATTTGCACATGCCTTCTCGTACTATATGCTTTAACACTTCGGTTAATATTGAGGGCAATAAGAATTTAAACACGTGACTTACAAAAAATCAGGTCTAATATCATATCATAAACCCGCTGGTTCCAATAATTCGAATTGTTGGAGATGTGTGATACTGATGAACAAGTTAATTACATTATTGATGGTCACATGACCCCTCAATTGTGAGATATTTTCTCCCTTCAAAATAAGATAAGAGGACACGACCATACAACCCCAATACGAAAATTAAAATAATTATATATAGTAAAATATGATATGGGTAACTTACGTGAAAAATATGTATAAGTAATTTATGTCTCTAAACTAATGGTACGATTAACAGCACATTAATAGTTATCAAATATATATATAATTAAATTAATATATAAATAATAATTAAGTTAGCAATTTAATTCATGAAACACTGATATTAAATGCATGTGTTATACCAATTTTTTACGTGTTTAGTATGATAGTTATCAAATGAACAAAAAAATTGAAATAATTTGACACTAATATGAATACAAAAAATTTAAATTGATAAAATACATATAGCCATATATATAATCATATATAAGTATATTAAACGGAACCGACAATAATCATACAGACTATCCAATAAAAAAGCTCTGTGAGCCCATGATTACTTCTCACTATTTGAAACCGACCCAATCCTGACATTCAGTCAAGGGCTATAGCTGGATCCATGAAACAAATATTGGCCAGTTTACACACTGTCTGGGCCTAGCATCCAGTATTAAAAGGCCCAGGAGAAGAGATTGCACACTATACTTCGGCTGGTCTATTTCCTCAGCGTGGTTGTCTCAATGCAAATGTTATAGGCTGTCAGAAACAAAAACCAAAGTTCAATGAGAAACAATCCTTATAAAATCAATATGCTGTTGTATGATATTTTTTAGTCTTGGGAGGGAAGGAGTCATGCTTCTGATCCCATTGTGGTGCCAAGCCCAGCAACTGCCTATAATGTGCTTATTGTGTTGATTTGATTCAAGAAAAGGAGGAAACCGAAGCATTTTTCTATTGTGATTCTTTGCATTCATGTGAGATTTTCATTTTGTTTTGACTATTGGCTTCATCTACTATTATGTGATTCAGCACCACCTTGAACGTCACTCTCCTGGCCCCTGGTGACAATGCCTGTTTTGGCAATTCTTTGCTGGAAGTAGAGGTGGCAATTGGATCGGATTCGTGGATTCGCGGATTGGATTGGTGGATCCATGGATCAAATGGATTGGTGGATTCATGGATTGGATCAAATGGATTGGTGGATTGATCCATGAATCCAAAATGACATCCAAGGCTTGGACCAAAATGTAAATTTTGAAAAGTTTAGGTACTAAAATGTCATAATGAAAAATTTTAGGTACCAAAATGTAATTTTTCAATGATATTTTTCGTATAAAAATATAAATTTTAGGTACCAAAATGTAAAATATAAAAATATAGGTACCAAATTGTAATTTGCCATTTGGATCCATGGATTGATCCATGAATCCACCAATCCAATTGGATTTGGATCAAATGAATTGGATTTAAATGGATTGGATTAGGTGGATAATTTGGTGGATGGATTGGATTGGATTCATGGATTTGGATCATAATTGCCACCTCTAGCTGGAAGTCGTATTGGGGTCTGGAGAAAGTTTTCTGGGGCCTTAATATTATGTCTTACGAGATCGCATTAGATATGTTTCAGTGTCTAGATGTGAAGTTGGACTTGATCTTTTTGCTAGAAACTTTCTCGGGCTCAGCATTGAGCTCTTGAGGAGTTTCTTAACTTTGCAGCTAGGCCTAGTTTTAGATGGACCTCTCATTTCCCAAGTTCTAATAAGACAGTTTGCTACCATTCTATGAATCAGAATTTTGATGCATTTTAAATTTACTTGGTACATTCCGATGAATGAAGTGTTGAAGTATAGAAAGTTAAGTACTGGTAAACGAGTCCGAAGAGTATCTTACGAGGGCTTGCTAAACTATTCTGCAGATTTAGAGTCGTTTGGTTATTGAGCTTTATTCCTGTCTGCTGCTAAACTATGATTACTTTGTACATGAGTTCAAAGAGTATCATAGGAGGGTTCGCTTAACTGTGATGATTTTGCTCTGCAGGTTTAGAGTCGCTGGTTATTTTCATTCCCGATCTCGATTCAAGCGAGTGATGGGTCTAAATGTGCTTACGAGGATTGGTATTCACGAGCTGTAATGCTGTGAAAGAGTTGCTCTGGATGCTCATTCTTGTTTAGACACCCTGCCTTTGGTATCATATTGCAATTCTTTTGGTGATAATGGTTAGAAAGGTTTGCTCTTCTGTCTGCAAGTACTGGTTTGTTGGTTGTTCCATCATGCTTAATTTTAGTTGTCTGATCATAGATGGATAGAAGTGTGTCTTGAAAAGAGAGAGGTGACTAGACTACATGTTCATGAGATAGAGGGACTGGTTTAATTTGGTTATCACATCCGACTGCATGTATTGGTCTGTACTATGATGCTAATCCTCAAGCTTTCTGGGTTTTGCTATGAAAAATCGAAGTAGTTGAGAAAGAAGGCATGCTTGTGTGAGATCCATAACAGACTATTGTCTTGTAGCCTTGATAAACCTCTGTAGTTACCTCTTATTGATGGAGTATGCAACAACAGCTATCAGGGCCGGCCAACAGGGTGCGTTGGCCCGCCCTCCGGCACAGGGCCTCAGAATATTAGGGGCCTCTACTTAGATTCGTTAGTTACCAATCGTATATTGTAGGTTGTATTTTTAGTGTATGATTGATTGATTATGAGTATGATGATGTGTTTAATAGATAATTTTAGCTATAATAACAATTGAAAAGGATCTCACGGAGAATACGAAAATCTGAAAAATAATAGATAATTTTAATTTAAACAATATAGAAAGATATTACATTTTGAATAATGTTATTATAATCATTTTAGTTTTATTATAGTTAAAGGTCGATTTGGACCACGTCTAGATTTTGAAATAGGGCCTCCACGATCTAGTAGACAACCCTGCACCCACATCTCGATCAATTTAGACTATTTTCATTTCTCCATTCAATTTTTGCGCTATATCCATTTTCTCTTCCTTCCAGATTTCCTTTCCTCCCTACTAAGGATGGGAATTCGGTCTTGTTTTCTTGGTCAAACTGGAAACGAGATCGTTTATTTCTGATGTAATCTTTTTCTGACTTAAGTATTTTTTATAATTATTTACTAATTTTTAATTTTGATAAAATTTATGGGAAAAAAATTAGGGCCACATTTTAAATTTTCGAACAGGGCCTCCAAATATTATGGGACGGGCCTGACAGCTATAATAGTGTACAAGAGTTGGGGGTACAGAATTTTGATCTTCAAGGTCCTAATAATGCACAGAGGAGTCTGCATTCATTCAATGACCAGTTACAACATTCATTTGCAAACAGTCACGTAACTACCAGACATGGATCATTGCTGGTTTCCTGACTTCGAAGTTGCTGTTCTGGGACAAGGACTACGAGCTGCTCGCGACGTGTGTTTGTGCATTGATCACAGGATGGTGCCTGATCAGAATGTACCTCATCTGCAACCTGATGATGAGTGATGCTGATGAAAAAGAAGTAATAAGGAGTCGATGCATACTCCATTATCAGTTATCACTGTACCATTTCTGCAGTAATACGTTTTCATGACTACATTTTCAGGGAACATTCCTCGGATCCTATATTGTTTGTTACCCCTAAGCTTTGACTTCTGGTTATGTTACTCTTTCATTTGTTCAAATCCCCCCCCCCCCCCCAGTCTTTTCAGCTGTTAACTGCTTCATTATGTATCCTACCCTATCCCTTTGTTGCAAATGGTAACTCACACCCCTCGAAAACGGAAGTCAGTTGTCTCGTATTAACTTTTGTTCAAATATTATCCAAACGTATAAACCGCGACTATACTCGAAGATCAAACCCCCTATCCTTTTAATATCGCTGATTCACGATTTCAAATACAAATCCCATGTTAAATATGTTCGGATCCATGATGTGTATGGCTCATGAATGATTTCACAAACAAAGCAATCATTTGAATTTCACAAAGAGATTATGGACAACAAGGGCACTAAAAAGTGAGAAAAAAAACCTAGCTCACTAATCTTACATTCAATTTACTCCGAAACCTTCGCAAAATTTCAAAGTAAAAACAAGAAAAAGGGAACCTACATTTCATCTCATCACCCAAGCAAAGGAAAGAAAACCTTGTTATCCTCCCAACTGTTTTTTTGTTTTCTGTGAGAACTGTTCTTTTTTTTTTTTTCATGCAGTGGGGAAGACGGTAAAGAAAAACAACCATTCTCTCTCTCTCTCTCAGCAAAATTTCACGCTTCCTACATTTTCCCCCATTTTCACAAACCCTAACCCTACTTCTATGTTCCACTTCTGTATTCACTTCACTCTCATGACTGGCTACTGCTGCTGCGTTTTGAAGAGATCCAGGCGAGAATCTCCGAGGCGGAGGGAGTAGGAGGCCTTTTTGTACTCGGCCCAAGTGAAAGCCCGATACAAACTGGGCCTGGAAGGGGTGACCATCTCAGGGAGAGGAGAGATTGTGCAGTTAAGCGGTGGGGCAGCGAAATAGGCCATTGACAGTCTGGGCTTGGCCGCGTTGACGTTGAGGGCCCTGTGCTTTACGCTCACGAATCTGCCATTTGTCATAGCCTGCATCCATCAAGCAAAAAGGATATTAAAAGGAATGAAAAAAAATGAAACAGAAAGCCAAAAACTAACTATTATTTGAGGGAATATTTGGGTTTTGGTAGCAATCATGAGGTGGGATGAAAAATCTCAGCATAAGAACAAGGACAGCTCAAGCAAAAAGATGAAAGGGATTACCAAAGTCACGTCAAATTGAATCAAATTGCCCTAGGACCATTAACATATAATGATAATGTATATGATTAAATATTACTGAGTTAGTTAAATATACGATAACTATACATACGAATTGTTCTTTGAGTCTGTAATAGTAAAAGAACGCTTATTTCACGAGGTTTTCGGCCATTTTTCCATTAAAAAGGAACATAATGATCATCATGCTTTCGCACTACACAAGTCGAATCAACTGACCTAGTCATATTGGCAATATTGATAAGGCAAATGTGAGAATGATAACCATTACAACTACATAAACGATGACTCGCATATAACTTTTAACTAAATGATAACTAATTTTTTTTAATCAGTCATCTATTCGAACATATCATTGTATTAGCATACCACATTAGCCAACAAACACCAATCTGTGGGTATGATGGATGTGCCTATAGTGGAAGACGATATCCTACTTCTGATCTAACTGGGGTTCGCAGTGGTGGGGAAATTCTAGAGATGTTATATTATATCATTGTGTCGTTCCCAACTCAAATGTTGATTTTGTTTTCCAAAAATAGGGGGAAATAAACAGCAAAAATGAGTTGGCATTAGCAACACAAGGTCAATAGATTGATGATTATATTCTTGAGAGAGAGAGAGAGATGGGGATCTGAGTATGGTCGTCCTGACCATAATAGGACCATAGAATAGAAGATATGGGAAGGAAGAAAGGAAGGAAAGGTGATGGACTAATGACTGAATGAGTAGTCATACTCAATAGCCTTTCTTCAACAATGAGAAGAAGAAGAAGAAGGGAAAATAGGTATCCAGGAAGGGTAAAAAGGGACCAGAGGAAGGTGGGCTGGGGAAGAGGCCTTAATATAGCCAAAACAGAAGGAGGCCATGCAGCCACTTTTTGCAGTTACCTGCCCCCCCCCCCCCCCCCCCCCCCCCCCCCCTCTTCTCCTTCTTCTTCTTCTACTTTCTTTCTCACCAATAATATCTTTATTAGCTTTTATTTGATTTCAAGTACTATATAGCAAGAAGAAAAATCCTTCACAAGAAAAAAGAAAAGTACCATAGGAAATCTCAATAGGGTTCGAGTTTATCCTTCCACCAGCCACACATGGCAGACCTATCCACTTAGGATTTGTACTTTGAGATATGTATGAATTTCTCATATGACTTATTACATCAGTGAAATTTTGAATCTTTTTTTTATCCAAACTTGTCTCTAAATTGTCATGTTTTATCTTATTTGAAAGTCAATCATGGACTTATGAAGAAGATGAGTATCGATAATGAAAATCAACGAAGACGGTTGAAGACGGATAATACGAGAAGAACCAAACCCTAATCTAAGCATAGTTTGTGTAAACTAGGGATGGGGATTTTTTTTTGTTGGATACTTTTCTTCTTAACTCATATTCCTATGCCCTGCCCTTGTCATTGATCTTGCTGTAAATGAAGGAGAAAGGAGCTAGCTAGGCAGGGCCCCATCATAAATTGGACAAGAGAATAACCCAAAATTCAAACCTTAGATCATAACTAGCTAGCTGGCCATATAGCTGCTGCTGCTGCCACTATGCCCTTTTGCTGCTAGGATGTTGCCAGTTCAGATAGAGAGCCAGCAGCAGCAGCATCTATCCATCTATTCTATCAACTTCCATCATTTTCAATCTCCCTCTCTAGATTAGTACCTATCATCATTATAAGTAAAACCTTGTTTGCTCATGTTGTCGAGCGATTTCGATATCGTGCTCACAAGACTGATGTAAGAACGTGATTATAACACACTGCGCTCGTCCCTAATCTGACAGGCACGCGAGAAGTTATAAGCACGTTCTCACAGACATCTTGCGAGCGCCATATCAAGTTGTGCATATATTGACCCTTGAACCAAAATATATCCCTAATAACTGAATCGTAAACCCTTTGCGCCTATGATTTAGAGACTGCATATTTTCTCGAATCTTCTATTATTCTGATTGTAAGAACGCATTTTTTGGATTCTAATTATATATAATAAAAGAGAAATTTAGCAAAAATCATCGTGGTCCCAATTCCTTTATGAGAACCACACAAAATCCAGCTCCATAAAAAAAAAATTCTATAGCAATTATTCCAACATATGATTGTGTTACGTATCACTAATTATGAGCTCATAAAAAGAAATGGAGGGAAACCCACAAACCCTCCTTTTCTGAGCTCAGCAAGCAAGCCCCCAACCAACGGGCCCCCAAATAATTGATAATAATTGATAAAAACGATATAAATTGACAACACATTAATAATTGTTAAAAATAATAATTGCCAGAATATATAAATATAATAACGAACCTGCAAAACGTCACCAACATTTACGAAGAAGGCGGTGGGGTCGGGCGCCACGGAGACCCACACGTCACCGTCGACGTGGACCTGCAACCCGGCGACGTCGTTTGATGTCAATACGGTCAGGATCTGCGGGTCGGTGTGCGCCCCGAACCCGACCTTCAGCTCCGCCGCCGGGTGATCGACGGCGGAGGACGGCGACGGAAGGAGGAAGGGAGGGTAGTGATTGAGGCGGAGGATGGAGTCGCTGTCGACGTCCCTGATTAGCTTGCTGAACACCTCGGCGTCCGTGGCCCCCAGCCCTTCCGCCATCAGATCCAGGATCTCACATGCCACTTCCTTTACTGCTTCTATGTACCCGCCCGCAGCAGAGCTGTCCCCACCAAAAAACACACCACCACATTTAATATCGAGGAAAGGGACTAAACATCGTTAATTCAATTCATTCCATTTCCCGTTGGTATAGTCAAATTAATTAATTCATTAATCCGAAGAGGAAAGAAAAAGAAGTGAGAAAGGAATCATCCCAAGAATCTTCACACTAGATTAGGAAAAAGTCTACTACCACCCCCAAATCATAGAATTATCCATCTCATTGGTTGGGTCGTTGTTAAATATCTCGATCGCTATTAAGTACGTAAAAAAAAAAATCGAGAGTACGCGAAACTAAGAGTTACGAGATGGGGTATAAGAACATGGCAGCCTCTGTCTTAAAACATATAATAACATGACGAATCGTGTAAACAAGTGATTAAGATCCATCACTGAATTTCTTTCGACAACTCCTCCTCGAATGTCCTCCTGATGGGCATGACACCAACAACCCATGCAGGGAGGAGAGGACCATTTTTAAGTGTGTTCGCACAAATGGTCCATGGCTCTGGCCCTGGCCATGACATGTTCTAGATGAAAATTCGATTTTTTTTAAATACTTTTTTACAAAAGATACCCTACAAATGAAGGACGTCGACCCTTCAACTGATTCTGATCAGCAAATTGGCAGAAAATGGAAGCAACGGGTTCCATTTGTAGCACAGACAGTTACAGCGACTGAATCCTAGCTACCCTCCCTTCTTCCCTTCCTTCTCTTCTATCTTCTCCTCCTCCCCCACACCACGTTTTGCACATTATTCCCCTTGCCCCCACTCCAGCTCCCTAAACCCCCCAATTATTCTCACGTCAATACTCAGGTTTATCAATGAAAAAACGTTTTAACAATCATAACTAAAAGATAGTATCGTGTTGCATAATTTTTTTTAACGAATTCGCACACACTCGGAAATATATTTGATGAAGAAAAATTATGTGAGAAATGTAAAATTCTAATGAAATATCGAGATGGGTTACCTAGAGAGAATGAATATTTATAAAATTGGCGTACCTAAATTTGGTGGGGTCGTTGGAGTTGATGGTCAACGACCTCTGGGCGATGGAGCCAGGATTGGTGTTGAGGAGGACGTACTCGACCTCCCCGACGTCGCCGTTGAACCCGATGTTCCTGCACCCGTACCCGAACGGGTCGGCGGGTCCGGCCCGCTTCTTCTCGTGGTCGGGCCTGGCGAAGAAGCCCAGGCTCTCCTGCGCCATGCGGGACACGGTGGCCGGGCCCACGCCGTGGTGGGTCACCTTGAAGAACCCGACCGTCTCCGCGGCCTTGACGATCTGCTGGGCCACGTCCGCCCGTGGGCCCGACAGGTCCACCGTGGGCAGCTTCGGGAGGAGGAGCTTCTTCTCGCCGGTGCGGGCGAGCGGCGGGGGGGATGCCACCACCATGGTGTTGTTGAATGGTTTTTTTTTTTTTTTTTATGGGGTGGTGGCCGGAGATTGTTTTTTGTGCGACGGCGGCAGGAGGTTGGGAAAGAGGAGAAGAGAAAAAGGAGAGGTAGGAGGAGGAAGGGAAGGAAATGAAGAGTTATGAGACTGTATCGTACCGTTTCGCGAATTGGTTGTGTGGGTATATGTATTTATAGAGGAATGACTCGTGTGAAAGAGAAATGGGAAAGGATGTTTTTATTTATTTATTTAAGGAATAAAATAAAAATTGGAGAAGTTAATTTATACATTTACAAAAAATATATGTTAAGGAAACTTCGTAATGGTTTTGTTATTCAATTTGTGTTCCCCTTCTTTACTGAGCTGTTATATGTTTCCTATTTATTTTCCATGCAATTTGCATTGATTTGTGCACTGAGTTCTCCATTGATTCTGTATGGTAACTCCCAATTAAGGGGTGGGCAATTATATGGTCCATATTGGACCGAATTTGGATGGAATTGAATCAAATTGAATGTATTTTTATTATATTTTTTATTCTACAGGTATATGGAAAAATAATTATAAATTATATATTTATATGTATGGAAAAAAATGGAGTGAAATTAAATTTGTACCGAATCGAGTCAAATCATATGAATCAAACATGTTTTAGGTATGATTCTGATCCTATGTTCTACTTTATTTTTTTTTTTAATCTAGTCTCATCTCAATTCGAGCTATTTCTAGACCGAATCAATCGACTCCCACCATTACTCCTAACACTAAGTAACATTCACAATCATAAAAAAGAACCAAAAATTCTAGAGGACATTTTTAGTTCAAGATGCTATCATGCTCTTTATCTGTTGTCATCCAAATTCTCAAAACTTCTATGCAAAACGACTCTGTCACGAGAATTGTAACTGAACCGCCCTGATCGCGTCCAACGAATTGGGCCATACATCTACATTAATTAGTTTTGTGCCTTGGAGGGACCCAAATGTACACATACCTCCCTCACATCCTCTAATTATGAGATGGTTTGTTTTCTTTCTAGCATTTTGTGGAGTGAGGGCTAAACATATGTTTAAACACACTCCTTAGATACCTAATCCATATTGTGGATGATGACATTGGTCGATATTTTCCCATTCCCACTGCCCACCCCCGCAATTATCACTTGTTGTACAGCGCGCCATTTGGAATCCAGAGTGAGAGGTGAGGCCCGGAGAGCGACAGGGCAGAGCTAAAGAGAGAATCTCTCTCTCTCTCTCTCTCGCCTTCCTCTCCCAGCTGAGTTGAAAGTACAGCGGATACAGCTTACAGCTTACAGCTAGCTAGTCAAATTACAGCGATGGAAAAAAGGGAGAGAAAAATAAATATATATTACTTTGACATTGTAAGTGTGACTGAGCACGAGACTCGAAAAGCAGGAAAAAAAGGGGAGATCGAGAAAGGAGGGAAAAGGCTAAAAAGGAAACCGAGGTTTTCCCACCTCTCATATTTGACTTTCTTCACTTGGGAGGACTAATCATCAGTAATTAGCGAGTACAGCTTTGTGTGTTTTAACTATGCAAAGTGAAATCAAAATGTCCCATGTTGGTCCTTATAACAAATAATCAATCACAAGTTGTGTTTTTGAAGTTTAATTGTACCGTACTGAAAGTGAATTCGTACTGAAATATTGGGTACATTTCAACTAATCAAAATCGTCGATTGTTATTGTTTGACGAGAATTCGTGTTTAAGATTTAGGGTTCGTAGAATACGAACTAAAAGTTCAATCGTTAATTGAAGTGCAGGGCGTAGTGTTATTACTCTGAATTCTAGTCAATCTAATACTCTACATGGCAGCAAGTGACCGACTGAGAGTTTGGTGTACTCCAAATTCACAAGTTTGCCAGGTAAGGAAGCGTTATTGGGTCAAAACAAGAGTCCGAGTTATTAGGACCAACTAATTATTGATATAGTATCAGAGATTGGTTGATCGTGCTCGAGTCCTCACGACCCCGTTATCAACAATTTATTTTAAACACATGGTATGACATTGTCATGACTGTTTAGTCCCATTAACTTTAGTTGTTGAGAGATGTTTAGTTTGGGATCTTACACGATTTACGAACATGACCCCCTCCCCTCCACCTCCTCAAAAGGAAGCCAATTAATATGGGCTTGAAGTTTGCAAAGTCTATATACCATGTTCTTAACAAATAGGGGTCGTCGTTGAAGTTCGAATACAAGAACTCTCGGCCACCACGACTCTGATACCATGTCAAGAATCGCCTAGTTGCAATATCTCGACTTTTTGGGAGGGCTCAATTATGGATCTCAAACCATCTACTAATCGTACATTCATGTGCAAATTTCAAACTCACGAGTCAATTGAAAAGGTGGGTTAACAAGGATTGCCATGTCATAAGCTGAATACTAAATGAACCCAATAGCTCCAACGGTTGGGTGCAATGCTATAATGAATTTCATATCACACACTCAAACGCCCACTCAAACGAAAGTCACTCATGAGAGCTCGAAGTCTGCATTGGTCCGGATTAACATGTGTGCTTAACAAATGAAGTCGTCGGGATTCAAATGGGAGGCTCGGATATAATGCCATGAACCGAATAATCATATTGAGACATACGACCTTTTTTTCTGATTGAACCTACGATACCATAAGACCCGGGTTTTTTTTTTCCGGGTGGCGGGGTGGGGTTGGGGGAGTATAGAGACTAGAGAGATTCAATTTTCAAGGCCAACGCGTATAGAAACGTTCCATCGTGTCCCTTTCTGCTTCCAATGACTTGGTCGGGAAGGTGGCTGTCTGTAGTAGTAGTAGTAGTAGAGTGTCCATCGTCAACACTCCCAGTTGCGCCTTTCGCTTTTAATTCCACTCCCTTTGACTCTTAACACTTAAGTCTAGCTCTCACTTTATTATTTATCCGCCTCCCAATTATTCCCTTCCCTCACAAACCAAAGACCATACCTGCACATGTTTTGCTCTTTCTTCTGGCCTCGTCATCGTCGACATCTTCACCGTCCTCTCCACCAATTTTCCCCAATCGGAAGAAATCCTGTCCATGTGGAATTAATAGGAGCCTGGAGGCCATTTCAACGCTTTGTTTTTCGGTGGCGGCTGGGCAAATTTCTCAATTGAAAATTGCCGGGGGGTAAAAACGTGAAATTAAAGTTTCTGGACTGTTTGAAGTAAAAAAAAAAGGCTACATGGAGATCAGGCCCAAGACACTTCGTCCACCTTTAGGCCCAAATCGAAGGGTCCAACGCCCCAAACATGGTCACATAGATAATAATATGCATCTTTTTAATGACAAAAAAAAAAAAAGATAATATGCATCTTTTTCTCTAAACCCTTCTTCGAGAGGAGAGGTAAGGAGAGGACACAACACACAAGTACTAATGAATTTGGTATTTGTTATTGTAATAGTAATGATGATAGTAATAAAAAGGAGTATCAGTCTCAATTGAACAATGGTAACCATTTAAACTAAAACTTGACATTGAACAATTATTCATTATGAATGATTGTTTATGTCACATCAAGTAGAAAATATATGTATTGTTTATACATGAAAATAAAAAAAACGATGGATTGTAACGAATGCAAACATCAATCTCATTAAAAGGATCGGAGAAACCAAATGACCCCTAAATTTTGTGAAAATTACATAAACGAAATCTCTTTTTGCAATGACACAATTGTGTTGTCTCTTGCTATTGAAATTGTAGTGGTTCCTTCAATTCTCAAATTCTATATTTTTCGGACATTTTTCTACAGGACGGCGATAATTTAACGTCAAGAGCTAGCTCATTCTAATAATTATATAGAATTTTCGGGAGAGACACAATGATAAGTTTTGTATAATTTGTAGGCATCCACGCTCAAACGAAGTTGTTCCGCTAGAAAAAAAAAATGAAGGTTGTATTGACTTTTGGATCCTCCAACACTCTTGTATAAGGTATTCAGGTTGAAACTGGTTCATCCAAGAACGAATCATTGAGATGTTTTTTTTTTATCCACATAATCATTGAGAAAAATTTCCCCGCAACCTACATGATGAAGATAAGCAAAACAATCAAATTAAATAAGGTTGTTGAATTGTGGATAATTAATTGTAACGTCAATTCATTGTATTAAGTAGATAAGGGCATATGATGATGATGATGATAACAATATTTAATGATGATAATATAATAACACAAACGTACGTTTGACTTTTTAGGGTTATCCTTTTGTTTCTTAAAACTACACGTACTCCTCCTATTGATAACTATGCAGGTAGCTAGCGTGACTTACCCTTCGTGCCATTCAAAGATCTCTCTATCTGCCAACCGAATTTTCCTATGTTTGTGAAGTTTGTGATAGCTAAGCAACACCAACCACCTCAATGCAATAGGAAGGATTCGATTTGAAAGGAAATGGATAAACTATAAATTCCCTTCTTTGTGTTGTGGGTCGATCGATAATGACATTTTAATTATTTTTTTTTCTTCTTGTTATAGATATTCAAAATGGAACAATACCATACAAAAAAATTATAATATTTTCACTCTGAAAATAAAAAGTTATAATAAAAGAGACGGAATAAGGGTAATAGTCAATTTTACAATAACTTCCCCAAGATAAGCCCCCCAAGATAAGTCCAAAAGGTATGAGCGTCAGGGTTGTGCAATGGTCCGATCCGGTCTGGTTCATACTTCGGAGAATTGTGATTCACTTAGACATCTCAGAATCATGAACCGGACAAACAGTGTATTCGATTCATTTTGGTCTGGTCCAAATGTTAATTCACTCCATTTTGGTTCTGTATTTATAAAAAAAAATGTGGACAAAGGACCGGACAATATTATATTCGCTTTGGTGTGGTTCGGTGCAGTCCGGTACGAACCATCCCTTTCCACACTCTTAATGGTTGCTAGCAACTCAATTACAAAACTGATAAGATCCACACAGCGTAGTATGTATGCAATTGGACTACCTATGAGAGAGTATGTTTCTATCAC